GCGTGCCGCTCGGCGTGGGGGTCGGCGCTGCGCCCTGAGCTGGGGCCTCCCGGGGCTGCCGAGGGGCTCTAGGGCTTTTGCAAGGAGGGACTCGAGCAAATAAAGGAGTTTTCCACCAAGCGGGTATTACATATTCATTTTAAAGCCTGCCAGAAAGGTACAACAGGAATAAACGTGCAGTAGGAAGAAGTACAGTGTGATGTGACCGGAGGAAACGTGAATGGACCGGGAGGAAACAAATTGCAGTCGTGCAGACAGAATTTAAATCAGGAACTTTTAACGTTGGTCAGAATTGGGAATGAGTGACACTTTCTTCCCGTTCTTTGCCCATGTTACTCATTGATTAACATAAAAACAAATGTAGCTGCTAATTGCTGAAAAGTGTGGAGTCTTCCTTCCACGCTTGAAAGCGTGAAGGGGAAAAGGGTCATCCTCTGCTTTAAAATATGGAAGGGTAGAATGTAAACGTGGATTTTGTGGGAATAAGTTGTTAGTTGTTTTCTTTCTCACCTGTTTGATAAATGGCTTTTAAAAAAAACATCGTCTTGCTAAATCAAAAATTACAATTTTTTTTCTAGTGAATAAGAACCACGTGGGAAATGTATATAGCTAGGACAGCAAAGAGATTGATATGAATGTTAATACTGATGAAGCTGATATAAAACTGATACTGCAAAGTTTACCCATTACTGTTTACGTAGATGAACTGATGTTTTTCTCTGCAAATGTTTCCATACTGTATATCTTGTAGGTCTGATGTGTTCTTACCTGAGAATGTAAATCCTGCCAAGGTTGTCTAAATTGCTTTGTTTGTGTGTGTGGTTAGAGTCCAGTTTATTTGCAACCCCATTAATAAACATTTTTTGCAGAAGCTCACTGTATTAGGCAAATATTAGGCAAAAAATCATTAAAAACAGTGTTTTTTCTCTTCCTATACTTCTTGCTTTGTAGACACAAAGTAGTAGTGAGCAGTTCTGTTATTTATCTTTAAAAGAGATAAATGTTTAGATTCAGGTCTAGACTGAAGTCTGTTTCCTTTGGGAGTGAAAGAAAATTGTAAAAACATTCTTCATATTCTACATTTATTTTGCAATTCAGTATTAAGAATTCATCTGAGCATTTTATTTCGTTGTAGGTAATTTGTATGATTTTCTAGCATGGACACTGTCGCTGGCCATAGTTGTCATCTTCTCCAGCAGCTACATGAGCAGCGTATTCAGGGTCTTCTCTGTGACTGCATGTTGGTGGTAAAAGGTGTCTGCTTTAAAGCACACAAAAATGTATTAGCTGCTTTCAGTCAATATTTCAGGTATGTAGTAAAAATATTTACTACTAATGAGCAGAATGCTATTAGTTGAGTTTATCTCCAAGAGTTTTTTTTTTCTGCTATTTACAGACTATAGTAACTATTAGGGTTTAAAGGCAAACAACAAATTACTTGGCCAGAAAAAAAATCCGTATCTGATGTTTTTCCTAATTTAAAAACCGAGATCATCCTAATTTATCTTCTTGACATATCTAGTTAACTGCTGGGCGTTTAGGCTTTGGAATTGTCTTTTTTTCAGTTGTTTGCAGTGCCTCATGTAATGGATTCTGAAATTGACCTGCAGCCAATATTTCAGTATAAAAGCATGTCAATTTGTAAGGAGTTGTGTTACTATGTGAACAGAGTCACATGAGGGATATAGTGGGTGAAACAATTCAAATTATCCACTTCTGTTTGATAGCGGCCAAAAATAAAATTGAATATAGGTATAATTATCCAATCTCTACTTAGAGCAAATTCTCACAGAGACTGTGTCTGTGTTAGGTGGCTCATTAAGCAATGGCACTGATTTCTTTTCCTGTAGCTGGGAGTAAGCTGGTAGATCCTGAAGTTTTTAGGCCTTGCTCTTGAAGCATCTCTAAAGCTTGACTGCCAATTCTAATGGCAGAAAAAGACTTTTGTATTACTACAAGGGGGGAAAAGGAAACAGGTTGACTTAAAATTTTTCTCTTAGTATTGAAATGCTGCTGTTGAAAGGGATGTAAACTTTAAGAACTTCAGCTGAATTTTCAAAATAGTAGAGGAAAATTAGAGATTCAACTAGTATTATAGTTCTCTGGGGCGCTGGTGAACAATTCATTTAGACTCTCAAGTGGTGTATGCTTAGTGTAATTCTGGTTCTAATCTAGATAGTATAGGCTGGATTTATGGAAGAGTTTGAATCTGTGCACTGGCGTCAGAGTTGCAGGATGGGGATAGCATAAGTTAAGTACAGGGATACGTCTGAAACCCTAAAGTTTTGAAGCTTAAGCACAGACTCCTGTTTGCTTAAGATTCGGAGCTCATTGAAATCGTGTTCACCATTAAAGAAAGTTGGGGAATTATCCCAGAAGAGGAATAATCAAGTTAAGGTTGTGTTAGCTTTTTTTTTTTTTTTTTTCTCTCTGTAGGAAGATAGCCACACAGGAATAGCCTGACCCCATTTCTATATCATTTTTGTGGGAGTACCAGGTTAGAGACTGGGGATTTTGGTGAAGGAGTTTCTGGTTGAGGCAGGGCGCCAAGCCACTCAATCTAGGACTGATTATGCAAATGACTACTTTATGTCAAATAACATAAAATAATATAAAATACTCTGCCTTATTTCATCAGGACTCTTTTTCAGAATTCTTCAGGCCAGAAGAATGATGTCTTTCACTTGGACATTAAAAATGTAGGTGGGATAGGCCAAATCTTGGACTTCATGTACACGTCTCACTTGGATCTTAGCCAGGACAATGTACAAGCTATGTTGGATATTGCGCAGTGTCTCCAAGTGCAAAATGTGCTAAACATTTGCCACACCTTTCTAAAATCTTCTACAACCATTGAGCAGCCAGCCAGCATGCCTTGTAATAGTGTATTTTCTCTGCAAAGTACTTTGACTACAGATTCCAGCTGTGCCAGTGACAGTTATGGAACAAACCTACTGCACGAATGTTCATCGGACACACAGGCTAATAAGGCCTTGATTGAGCACCATTCCCATGGATCACAGTCTGTTAATCTTCACGTGCCCTCAGGTGATGTACAGAAACAGCCACATGACTCCTTAGATGGCAGTTGCACAGAACTTCCTTTTAAACAGCCAAATTATTATTACAAACTACGCAACTTTTACAGTAAACAGTTCTACAAGCAAAATGCTTGCTCTAATCATGAGAGAATAGCAGAGCAATCATTTTCTTACAACACATCTACAGAAATAAGCGCAACAGAGAATAATTCTTGTACGGTCAATCACCCCGAATGTATTCTGGAAACCTCTGATCATTTACCTTCAAACTTTCTGGTTCAGTCCTTGAATGAAGCTCCTCCAGACCAAGGTTCAGAAAGCACGTTCTTACAGCCCGCCAAGCAGATGCGTCTGAAAAAAGCAGTACACCTCAAAAAGTTAAATTTTCTAAGATCTCAGAAGTCTGCAGAGCAGCCACCTGAGCCTAAAGGAGATGACAGTGGAATAACAAGAGTAATTGAATCTGTAGATGAAAATGCCATGGGGGTGACAAATGTCAGAGTTACTGAAGAAAAGGAAACTGAAGATCTAGGTAATTCGGAGACTTTTGAACAAACTGTTGAAATGGAAAGATCTCAAGGCCCTTTGGAACAAGAAGGGCAATCACAGACTCTCCAGGCGCAGAGGCAATATGCTTGTGAATTATGTGGGAAGGCTTTCAAGCATCCAAGCAATTTGGAGCTTCATAAACGGTCTCATACAGGTACAGTTATTTGTCTGCACACCAAATATTTGAATTAAAGAGGATATTTTGGGGTGTCTCTTGATTTAGAACTGCTGATTACAGAGCAGCTTGCCAAAGTGTTTCTTCATGAATAACTATATAGAAAAGAAGACTGTAAGACTGACTGCAGTTTAGCATGCAGCTTTAATTGTGTTAAAGATTTCCCCTCTTTTTTCAGGGTTCTTTTTCAAAGAATGTTGTGTGATATTTCAATGAAAATTTAGTGTTTTAGCCTGCATTTGGAAGAGGCAGTGCTTCTGTATGTTTGCAGAATGAATATATATGTGTTTCTTAATTTTTCATTCTGTGGAAGAGGCATATATATTTGCACTTTTTGTGCATATGTATATCTTTCCTCCATCCTCTCCTCCCTATAGTATTTTTTTCGTGCCTGTTATCTGATTTCATCCAACATGACAGGCATATTTTAATTTTTTACAAGTTTTAGGAATAATTGGTCAGGAAGAGGGAGGGAGCATGCAGAGGAGCCCCAGCTGAGGAAGAGTCTGAAATCAGTAAAACATGAGTTTGCCTTAGAGAACTACATGAGATAGAGACCTTATCGGTACTCCAGCTATGAGTAACTTGTCAGAATTTGCTCTTCCTTAGACATCCTTATTGTTGGAAGAATCTGAATTTCATGAGTTCTGGTGTCCATTAAGCTACTTTTTTTTTATAAGCCTGATTCCTGAATGATAGACTTAATTGCCTTATATTTCTGAGTCCCACACATTATTTAAAATAATTTTAGAAGAGGTAAACTAAACTTTGAGCCTTGTGTAAAATATCTTCAAATCCTGCTTGGCCACAGTCCTGTGCCACGTGCTCTAGGCGACCCTGCGTGTGCAGGGGGGTTGGACTAGATGACCTCTAGAGGTCCCTTCCAACCCTAAGCATTCTATGGTGCTATGATTATAACTTAACAAGGGTGAGAGGAGAGGGCTGGGTTTATAAAGATTATAGAGAAAACAGACAAGAGCCCCCAGACAGGATTTTACAGTTTTTATTTCTTTTTACATACAACATGAGCAGCAAGCACCAGTGTAGGAAGTGGAAAAAGAAGAAAAGAGTTGTAAGAATTAGCAAGATTATTAAGATTTATTTCAGTTAATTTCTCTCTTCTTGTTTGAGGTGTTAATATTTACACATGGTTCCGCTCAACTCGAGCTGTGGTTGATGTTTTATGTTCCTCAGCACTGCCTTACGTGAACACGTAATTAGCTTATTTATATATAGTGTAGGAAAACTAATCCTAGAGTTGGATTTTTGTTGTTGCTGTCCTTCTCCCTACTAATTTGAGTTTAGACTGGATCCAGGTGTTCCATGTCTGTTTGGATAAGTTTTGTTCTTCCAGTAGCTTTCAAAAATGTCATATGTGCTAAATGTCAAAGTTTAAGAACATGGGTTTAACAAGTAAGAAGCACATCAAGGAAAGATGAGAAAATTGAGACAAAACTATGACTGGGTATACTTTTTTGGTTTTAGGTATCGAATTGGTGCAAAAATACCTGAAAATTCAAAGTAAGCTAGTGAGTAGCATGTTAATGAAGGAAGGCTCTACAGCCTTTTATACAGGGCACATCTGTGTCATTAATATTAGGTGTTCTGCTACTTAAGTAATAATTTAGTATATCATCAGAACCATTTCTGTCATTCCAACCATCACTTCAGAAAGCATTGTTAAATATCACAAGTTTCTATCTAATAATTTAAAAAACAAAGTTCATTTTCTGCAATTGCGTAAAAGAGTAAGCAGGCATATAAGTGTTATAGTGTGTATAGAAAGTCCTCCAAGTCCGGGTTTGGTGAACAGATGTCTTGAGGACCTGACTTTATCAGGAAGCCCATAAACGACAACCCTTTCAACAATGGTGTTTCGGTTGCTTGGCTGTAGGGAAAACACACATGAAATTCTCTTTCCAGGAAAAGTAGGATTGCTAAAGAACTTACAAGTTAGCATAGTTGGATTGAGTTCCCTGTGTGAAATGCAGATATTCTGGATGGGTTGGCTGGTCTAATTAAGTTCCTAGTGGGTATTTAAAAGAACCTCAAACAGAACCTGTTTGATGGATTGTAAGTTTGATTTGGAGGTTAGAATTTGTTTTCATTAGATAAACTAGCTGTTGTGGTAGAATCTGTATGAAAAAAGGGAATCAAATATGTTGCTCTTTCCCAGTAACATCTAGTTAGTGTCCTCCCCCAATACCATATAGGTATTCTATTTTAGAAAATATTTTCAGCAAACACTTAGTAAAGAAGAAGTGGAAAGAACACTGTTTATAGGATGGAGAAAGCCAGAAGCCAAGCTCTGCTTTGATGTAATATACCAGGGATCCCCAAGCTTTTCATTGTGAGCTTTGCTTGAGCATCTTGAGCTTTGCAAGTGCTCCATGTCTCGCTGTGTCCCTCCCCAGGTCACCCTAGGAATACCACTACTGCCTTCAGGTCTTTTACCACTGAAACTAGAGCAGCCCAGGTTAAATACATTAGATTTGACCCCATTACTGTGCGCTTTACCTTCATCTCTCTTCATCTCTTATTACAGACTGTATTGAACAAGAAGGGTGCAACTGAATTTAGAAGACATAAGGTAGAGCAAGGGTTTAAAAGTAAAGTTCTTTGGATGTTTGTTTAAGCATGCTCTTCAATGTAATTTTTTTTTCCCCAAATTTCTCAATTGCTGTTAATCTACCAGTGCTGTTTGAGAAGATTTGTGAGACTGTTGATTTTCAATAGGGTTCTGCTTAGGAATTTAGTCTTAGAATCATAGAATAATATAGGTGGGAAGCAACCTCTGGAACTTATCCCGTCCAACCCTCTGCTCAGAGCAGGTCCAATTAGATCATGTCACTTACTACCTTTTCCAATCAGGTTCTGAATATCTTCAGTGACAGAGTATCCACAACCTCCCCAGGTAACCTGTGCCAGTGTTTGACCATACTCACGATGGAAAATTTTTCCCTGCACCTACTCAGAATTTCCCATACTCCAGTGTGTGTGTTGCCTCCTTGCACCATCAAGGAATAACTCAGGAAGCAATTAGCCTCGCTGTACCTGAGGGAAGCTAGAAAGCTTGAGTAATCTGGTATTTCTGGTAGAATTCATTCCTGAAACAGGATACTTGATGTGCCAGGTGGTTTGGAATTTTATACAGATGCAGAATTGTTCTCCTGGAGCTAATGTGATGTTTCTTTTGCAAACAAAACTTAATTTATCTTTATCAAGGGGGAAAAAAGAACCAGCTATCCAGAAAAAAAAAATATGTATGTCGGGATTGTTCTAATTAGACTGCATGTAGCCTGTGATGATGGTTTGGAGAAGTTAGAGCTTCCAATTCCCTCCTTCACTCCAACATAGCTGAAGGCAGGGAGGACTTTGTTCAGGTGATGGTCTTTGCCAACAAGACCTTTTTGCAGTACATCATTTTTTTCAGAAATTGCCAGAAAATTTCATCCTCCGACCCAAGTTATCCCAGTGCTTTTATGGTTGTCAGAAGCCTTCCCAATTCTCAAAAGCCCTGGCTCCCTGTTTGATCCATTTATGGTTGTGCTCTCAGTACCAGAATTTAGTGTTTTGTGCCTTTAAAGCCATAATGAAGTCAAGCCTGTGTATCCTTTTTAAATGAGTTATTGTTTTAGGGTATTTTTAGTTGAATAAAAGCTTTCTCAAAATTGCCATTGAATTTCTGCTTGTTAAAGAATGGAAAAAGTAGGTTTAGGCTCAAGCTGCTAGAATAGCTGGGGGGTTGCTATCTGTCTGTGAAGCTGTATAATTTCCAGTGTTGACTCTGGGGTTCAAAATCTAAAAGAATTGATCCAAGAAGTTAGAGATTAGAAGTTAGAGAAAAATTGAGTCCTTGATGCTGAAATTTATTTAAACAGCATTGTTTCTATTTGGCGGGAGGAATGGAAAATGGAAATTAAACACTTAGATATTTTAAATGGTGCTCTTAATACTTAGAAGAATGGAGAAGTACTGATGCAGAGATAGTAACTTCATGGAAAATAAAGTTAGAAATGGCAAAGAGAGGTTCTATAAAATCAGGAAAATGATTTAAAAAAATAAACAAACTCTTGAGACAGGTTTTAAATTATCACTAATCTGAAACACAGTCCAAGATTTCTCCTCCTTCTGGAAATGAGTGCATTTAAATCACAGTTCTTTAGCTACTCTGTATCTTGGGGCTAGATAAGGTATGTATTGTTTTGAAGGGATAGACAATCTCATGAGAATATCCATGGAAATCTGATTCAGTGAATTCAGTAGTAATTGAATTTTTTTTTTGAATATTCTAACAGATGCACAAATACTTTATCAACAGTGCAAAAATCAGGAAACCAAAAACAATTTAGTAGAGAAATGATCTTTGTGAATTATTTAGCAGAGAAAAAAGTGATTCAAAAAGTATTTCAAACTGGCAGAGAATTGACTTAGTGTGCAGTCTCTAGACTGAGAGTAAAGTAATTTTCAAAAACTTAATTGGATTGCCACTAGCTTTTTTGTAAAGCCTGTTTTGCTTTGTAAAGCAAATGTTTTTGGGATTCAAGAATAGTGCCTTTATATAAATTCAGAGTTCCTGGAGCAAAATACTTTGCGTAACTATCAAGTACTGTTTTGTTGCATAGGATAACTAAGAATTTTAAAGCAAATGTTTGTTGGAAGTGAATAGTTACATGTTGATTGGGCACAAAAACGGATTCCTTTCAAATTAACTTGACTGCTTTTCAGATTGAGTTTGAGAGGGCCTTTGTGCATACAAGTGGCAGACTGATGCACTTTCCGTAGTTTTTGTTGTTGCTGCAGCATAGCCCTGTCATTTTCTGTTTTTCCTGAAGGTGCGCGTCTTGCTTCTGGAAAAAAAATAATTAAAAAATGATAGAATTCCCATTCATATTGAAACTCTTCTACTGAAATTAAAATAAATAAATAAATTCTGTTTCTAAGGAACACTGCCTTAAAGGTTTAATGCTAAATGCAGAATCTGCCTCTTAAATTTTCCCTTGAATACATGGTGTCCTTTTGAGGATATTTTTACTTTTACATTATATGTTTTAAAAGGAAGCATACCAAATTGAAACATTTGTATTCTGTTGCAACTATTAGAAGTTCTGTTTCTTCTCCTTTTAGGTGAGAAACCTTTTGAATGTAACATTTGTGGGAAACACTTCTCACAGGTGGGAATATTTTATTTTATGGTACTTACACTTGAAAATGAAATGCATCTATATATTGATTCTGAAAATAAACTTGAATGGTTTCAGGTCTATAGATTTAATACCTTAGCTCAGACCTACCTTACTTTACAGATAAAATATTTAGATGTATCACTTGAAAATATCAAATTTAAAGTTTTACATTTCTTTGACATGTTTTGTTTCTTTGATTCTGTCCACCCGCAGATTTCTGTTATGTATTTTCATCTTTCAGTGAATGTTTACCTACCTAGAGCCACAACTGTGTTTAAAATACAGAGAACATACCCTCTCAGACTGTGCTTTTACCCTATGCTTAGGGATAAGTTTTGAATAGCTTTTCACATAAATGTCTGAAACAAATACACATTAGAATTTTATATAATTTACTGTGTTCATAATACTGTTTATTTTCCTAGATGGCAAAAATGAAGTGTAGTTTTTGAAGGTCAGCTAAAAGGTCATCTGTATAATTGGGCTCCATTTCTATCTGTAGAAGAAATTTTCAGCAAAGTCTACCTTAAGTTAGAAAACAGCTATGTTTAGAAAAAAAAGAATTAAAAAAACTCTTTTAATTCCTTTTCCATATCCTAACCCTTAGTTGTCTTAATTTAACTTCCAATGCTTGCTTATAATTCATCAGTAATTCTACAAACATGGTGCCCAATTATCTCACTTAGGTTTCCAAAATTTATGCTTCTGTTTCAATTTTCTGAACAACCCTGTTTTTTCGACAACCCCGGGGTTTTCTACAACCCCAGTATTTTTGCTTGCCTGTTCCCCAGTTGGGTAGCCCACCCATGGGGCTTCCTTGGCCAAGGAAGGATTTGGGGCAGTTTCACACTCCGCTCCATAATCACCCTCATCTTCGCTGGGGGTGAATATGGCACTACCTGACAGGGAGCAGTACTGTGGCGTCTGCCATAGCAGCCCAGTTTGAATGGAGCTGGGGCTGCTTCTCGGCCCTTCCACAGAGCAGTTTCATTCATTTCAATTAATAACCTCTTAGGGTATGGGAATGGATATTCCCCTTGACCAAACTGCATTAAAAGTGCTTTGGGGAATGGTATTTTGAAGACTTGATTATTCCTGTGGGGGAGAGGGAATAAGAAATTTCACATCTGTGACAGATTCTTCATAAAACATGCATTTTTCTAACTAAAAAAATAAGAGGAAATTCATACACCCTTTTGTACACTCTTAAACAGCTTCCTTCCCTCAGTTGTCTAAAGGTATAAGTGGATAAATAGAAATGGAAAGTACTGATACTTCCAAAATGTGACCCGTAATTTTCAGCTTGCACATTACATTTTTTTTCTGCTCGTAAAAGGCAACTTGCACACCTCTGAGATGCTCTTCTTTTCATCATGCAAATAAAGTAAGGCCCCACATGCTAGAAAGTCTTTCCTGCTTAAAAGACCAATTTTGATGATGTTCCATGTTTATCTCTTCAGCCTGCCCACCCCGAAACAGTAACACTTGTCTTATTTCAGCTGTCATGTGCTGCATTTTTGAGGCAGTCCTGCTGCTGTGCCTAGACAGCTCCTGCTTTTAACTGATGCTAGGTGTGATGCAATGTGAAACAACATGGAGAAAGCAGGGAAAATTGAAACAGGAGCTCGTTACAAAATAATGAGCAAAATACAAAATAACAAAGCAAATAACATAAATGTCTGATTTTTTTTTTGAGAAAAAGGGGCCTTTTGCACATCCAAGCTTCATTTTCCCTTATTTCTAGCACACAGCTTGTTGTTATGTGATGCTTTCCTGGCTGGTGCTCGAGCCTCATTCCCTGCCTGCCTCCCTCTGCATTTGGGGGATGCATTAGTGCCTTCTCTTTAACCCATGCCAGGTGCAAAGGGCAGTGAATCAGTGTAGCAGCTCTCCTCCTGGTCTCTGCATTTATGAGAGGTGCTGTGCAAGCAAGGCCAGTAAGAGGATGCTTCTCAGCATGTTTGGTTTGCTTTTCACTGAAATGCCAGCAAAAACGTTCTTCTACTTTTTTTCATTTAGACGGCATATTCTGCCTTAGCCAAGCTTGTACTTCCACCTTACAAGCATAAGAAGTGTATAGGTTGTTGATATATATATGTATTTAATCTCTTAACAGTTAATAGCAAACTAGTGTCCTCATGAGGAGGAAGCTGTGTATTTTGCAGGCTTAGAGTCAGAAAGTGGACCTACTTGCTACTCTGTGTAGAATGCTTTTATGTTAGCCTAAAAATGCCTGTGTAGAAGCTACTTCAGAATAACTGCTGCACTTCAAATTTACACCCTGCCTTAATCCAAGTTAGCTTTAAAATGCTGAGGTTACGGTTGTTTTTCTGGCATGAGAGGAGGCAAAGGTTGTGTGTTTTGTATGTCTCTCTTGGGTGGACCTCTGTATAAAAATGCTCTCTTTTTGCAAAGTATAAATTACTCCATGGAGAAGCTGGTTTAGTCCATCTCCTTCTCAAAGACGGGGCTGCAGGTTCTGGGAATTCCTTTGAGCCCCGTCCTGGTGCCTCCCACTGAGTGGATTTCAGTGAGGGTTCCTGCCTGCGAGCTTGGGTTGGTTACAGAAAGCTCTGGCAGGGTGCAAACAGTGATTGTTTAATAATGTCCTCTGTGTGTGTTTGTCTGCAATGCTTTAATTTTGGTATTTCATAAAATACAATTAGAATAAGTGCTCATTAAAGATAATTTTTATGTAAGGGAGTCAAAAGAAATTGCTGACAGATGGCATTTCTCTTGCCTTGCTGTGATTAGGGAGGTTCACAGTCATCTTCGCATCCCCAGTTTTCTCTCCTCCTTGAGGAGACTTAATTTGAGTTGTGCTTAAGACTACGCGGCTCCCCAGCAAAGAGCCCCACGAGGTTCAAAACTGACACCGTTTTGGGGGAACATTTGCAGTTCTTCAGACTGGATTAGCTATATCTTGTGCTTCAAGAACTGGAGCATCAGTGGATTAGTTGCTCAGAAGACCTAGTGGTTTCAAGGAAATATTGGCATAGCCGAGGTGTGTTTGTCTGGTTGTCGTTCTGCTTTCCCTGTAGACTAGCATGATCCCTGCAGGACTGGGAGCTGTGCAGGGAAAAGCAGCTGCCAGTAACTTCATTCGTTCACTTTGGTACTTCCTGTGCTGTTTGCTTTTGTAAACGGGCATGGCCTTGAAACACTTAGAACCAAGTTCTGTATGGGTGGAAGGAATGGTTAGCTTTTATTTTTTTCTTTTTAACCCCATGACAGGTGAATTCAGACATGCTATTATAACAGTACTAGGCCAGGGCAAAGAAGACTAAAATGTAATAAATTGCTAGTAAATTTCAGTAAACAATCTAGATAGTGTCCAGCTTTCAGCTTTAGTTGCATCTGTCCTAAAACATAGGTCTTTTTTCTTCCTCATTGTTTGGTTCCAGGCTTCGTTCTTGCTTTTTTTTTTTTTTTTTTTTTTCCCCCTCTCTTTTTTATTGTCAATGTGTAATTGCATATTTAGGAATCTACTTAGTGGTCTGCCATACAGTTACAAGTGTTTCACTATCTACATATTTTGTATTCTTCACTGCTTTAAAACTAGGAATAAAAAGCTGGTCTGGTAGCTCCCATTGTTCTTTTTATCTGCATACCCGCCAGTCTAGGTGAATTTAACTGTTTACATCCTTGTCCCTCCAGGCAGGTAATCTCCAGACACACTTACGTCGACATTCTGGTGAAAAGCCATACATTTGTGAAATCTGCGGGAAGCGGTAAGTGTGACTGCTGGTCGTGCTCACGTTAACCGAGGAAAAATTAAATGTTGTGTTCACGTTTTCTTGCATCTTCTCTTGACCCTTAGTTTCTCAAGCTAAGGCTGCAGATTTGTTTTGTTAAAAGCTGATAGGGTTACATGTGTAGCAGTCAGTTTAAAATAGATAAAAGTGTGTTGTTGTGTAGTCTCAAAAGGAGAAACATGTCAGTACGTTCATACAGGCTGTGGTCTTACTTAACTTTTTGTATATTGGTGTCTTTCGGTAAAGACAGACTGTTGTGTGTATGTGGACAGTCTGGTTCCTAATAGATGCATTTCTCTGCCTTGCCATAACAGCTTTTCTTTTTTTTCTGTTTTTTTTTTTGTCATGTAATTTAAATTCATGTTAAATTTTATGAAAATTATGCTGTAAGAAAAGCTTGACAGATTTAAGCAAAGTGTTAAGTACTGCTGCCTTTTGCTAACCAGCAACACAATAATTTAGCAGTGGCATTAATATTTAAGCCGAGAGAAATGCAGAATAAAGTTCTAATATTAAAACCGTTTTTGCATTTGTAGCATCAGTTTAAATGGACATTGCCAACTTCAGAATATTTTTCTTAAATATATCCATTGGGGTGTCTTAGATTTTAATCTTTGCAGAGATCATCAGGTTATGGTTGATTTCCATGTGATACTCGGTTTAGGAAAATATAAATAAGGGGCTTATACAGACAGTTTGGTTTCCATATTCTTTTCCAGATTTGCTGCTTCTGGTGATGTTCAGCGTCACATTATTATCCATTCCGGAGAGAAACCTCATCTGTGTGATATTTGTGGCAGAGGTATGTAAAAGCCAAAGTTGCTGCCTCCAAGCTGTTTTTTTCCTTTTTTTCTGATTGAAATGTAAGGAGTCATTAATCTCAATGTTTGACATATTTTTCTAGGATTTAGTAACTTCAGTAATTTAAAGGAACACAAAAAGACCCATACAGCAGATAAAGTATTCACCTGTGATGAGTGTGGAAAGTCATTTAACATGCAAAGAAAATTAGTGAAGCACAGAATTAGGCATACGGGAGAGCGACCCTACAGCTGTTCAGCGTGTGGTAAGATTTGTCATGCATTTTTTTGGTGTGTGTCTGTTTTTTTTTTTTTTTTTCTTAAATAGTAAATAGGCTGTACTGTAGCAGCAAATAACAAATAATCACAATGATTTTAAATTGGAATACCTTGTTGTCAAAGTTTTTCACAAAGCCTTCTATCTTGCATGCTTCAATTTATCATTTGATTTACTAAGCTCTTAACTATTGCAGATAATTGAAATTCACTTTTGAATTTAAGGAATATGTAAAAGAAATAAGAGGAATCAACGTTGCATGTATACATGCACTTTTGGTATGGAAATACTGATTTATATTGCTGCTTCAAAATATCATTTATGTTCAGTATTGCTATTTTTGTTGGAAAGTTAAGTATGTCTTCACTGTCAAGAGAAATCATCTCTTTTTCTAGAATAAAATCCAAACTTCACACCAAAGAATACTGTTTTTCCAAATCTGCTAGATCATATTTTCAGTTGGTCTTAAAATTGCTCTTTAATCAATGATTCATCCTTACAGAACGGAGACCCTAGTTCCTAGAAATTGCATTGTCTATCTGTGATGTTCCTTAGCATCCTGCACAGAACTCGCTTTTCTGCTCATAAGTGCTATTGCAGTATAAGTACGTTCGTGTTCCGAAGAACGAGCTTTCGAGGGAGATGGTTATTACATGGTGATGCCAAACTGCAGTATGCTTTTCTTTCATGTCTCTAAGCAATAAGAAAAATTTAATTAGCAGGAGATCTTGCATCAGAGAAAAGAAATGCAGATGCACAGGCTATGAAAGAATAAACACACAGTTACTTGGCTGACATTGTAGTAGGATTATTTTTCCCTTGTCTTGTAATGGTCTTTTGATTACTTTTCCTATTAGCCAGGTCATTGTATTGAGAGGCCAAAATATGGTATGACGAGACCAAAAACTAATTCATATTATGCAAAAGTTCCCCCTGTATTATTCTGGAAATTTGTAATTTTGCTTTTCCTGTTTAATGTTTCTTCCAAAGAGTAATCATGGCAATAGCACAAGAAGAGTAATGCCAATAATTAATCTGCTCAGTCACCTATAGATCAAAATAAAATAGTCCTTACGCTCAGTCCAGAGTTCTGCTGCACTGCTATACTTTGTCTTGGTTCAGCTTTAGTCTCTTATTTCATTGCAGTGTGGTATTAAATTATTTGATCATGTGGCTCAGAGAATAGATGGAGTTGAGCATTTTATTGTCTTTTAATATTTACAACAATGACAAATTACAGTATTAACACTAGTTCTTTGGTTTGACTCTGTCAAAGTGAACTGCTGTGTTGAGTTAGCTCACAGTTAACCTGGAAGCTAAGTCTGTCCATTGGCAGGTTGTGAGTAGTTCCTCTGTAATGAACAAATGGGTTTGATGATGCAGTTCTCGTTGGAAGAATCTGTTTGGAAACTTGGCACGAGGCTGACAGAAGACGGACACAAAGTGAAAGCAGCCACAGCTTTCAAACACTAGTGGATATTCCTGGAAACAAAAACTTCATAAAATGTCAAGAAACACAACACGTCAAAACAGGTCAAGAAGAAGAAACAAGTAACTGAATTGTTAAAATAGCAGGAACTTGCCTGAACCTATTTTAGATAAAATAGCACAATTAGGAAAATTCGTTGCTTATCATTTGATATTGTCTTGAATATTTATGCACTTACGCACTCTTATTTACACACTTATGATAAGAGCAACATGTAAATATCTCACTTCTGTCTTTGAGGGAAATGTTTTGCAGGCTCTGGTGACCTGCGTAGACACGTGAGGACCCATACAGGAGAAAAGCCCTATACCTGTGAAACGTGTAACAAATGCTTCACTCGCTCCGCTGTTCTGCGGCGGCACAAGAAGATGCACTGCAAAGTCTCCGAGGAGGGTCCAAACACGCTAGATGAATATGCTCAAGGGATTGAAGCTTCTGATCTTGACAAATCTCAGAGCTCCGACTCATTTGCCCAAGAAATGTCTGTTACTTTGTTACCAGTGTCAGTTAAATTTCGCCAAAGTGATAATTCAACGGAATTCGATAATTCTGCAGATTCTTACTGTAAGTTGCGCTCAATGATTCAACACCACGACTCGGCAAACCAACAGAAACTGAGTATGGATTCTGCAAAGCTGCCGAAAGCTCCGACCCAGCAAACTCCTCCCCCATCTTACGCTTACACAGACGTGGACGCGTCCTCTGCAGAGGAACCCCTGCAGGCCGATGGCATCTCCATGCTGCGGTCATCGCTGGGCGGCTTGGACAGCCACTGCAGTGATCCGCTGGGCAGCCGGGCAGCAGCTGCTGTGTACAAGGGTAACGAGGGACCCTTCTTCTCCAGCATGACCCTCTGGGGCTTAGCCATGAAGACTTTGCAGAATGAGAGCGAACTGGAACAATGAGGACTCGGGGTACGAATCAAAACTTCTTTGAGGCGTTCCGTGTGGAAGTGGAGCCGGTGCTGTGATGACCGTGCTCTAGCAAGGGCTGAGGTTTCATACTGCTCGGAATCAAGATGCGTGTGCTCAGAGCGCGCAGCAGGGCTGCCCAGCAAGGTTCACCTCCAGCCCGGGGAGCCCTCGTTCCTCTGGGCCTGCGCCGCGTCGCTCGTGTGTCGCCAGGGCTTGTCACCTTCCCTTCAACCATGTGGTTCTGATCTGCCAACGGAAGGAAGAATGTTTCCTAATTTAGGTGCAATTCACGTATGGATCGTCAGAGTTGTGCGAAGATGTACATATGAAAAGAGGAAAAAAATGAACAAATCACTAGTGAACCGGAGTTTGAATAGTGGCTTTCTTACCAGTAGGACTACTGGTTTACATGACTCGAGTGTTGTGATGTTAAAATTAAATGTTAAATACCAGACAATATTTGTTATAGAGCAAAGTAACTGTATATCTAGAAACTTTATTTTTTTTTACAATAAAAGCCTTTTTTTTAGTATTTTATAAACTATTTTGCACAGAAGATTATTTGTACAATAAAGACCAAATTAGAAAGTGTTAACTTAATTTGAATAAAGAGAAATTGTTTTACATTCTATCTTAATTGCTCCATGCATTATATCTTTTTATGAAAGCTTTTCAGTAATATAATTCCATCCATTCCAGATATCTCTGTACAACTGCTAAAGGGTGTATTGTCAAGAGGAAATGCACTCTAAAATAAATACAAACCATACATCAGTAGATAATCTTGCATATTGCAGTGTTAATATAAAGCATTGGCTAATTAATGATATGAATAGACTGTTCCTGGAAAGCAGCTTTGCTGCGGGGCCTTTTTTTTCTGCTTTAGTCCTTGCAATGGTAGCTTTCATTTCAGTATATGTCTGTTCCCGCCTTTCAGGCCAGTTTCAATCTTTTGAATTTTCCCTGATGTCTTTACAACCAGTCAAAAAGTTTTAGCAATGTGTTCTTAGGCTTTATGTAAAATATTCTGAAATGAAAACACTCCTGTACTAACCATCTTCTCTCTGAAGTTTGTCCATAGGCAGGAAAGTCTGACTATGAAATACTTCAGATTTGCTCTAAGGAGTCTCTATGTTCATCACTAGCAAGCAATCTGTGAGTACTAATGTCTGTAGTAACATCTGATAGCACTGCAAGACTGGAATTGGAATTGCATGGAAAATGCTCCAGTATTTATATGGGTCTACAAAAATCACATAAGCCCTCCAGGAAGCTGGTCATATGAAAATATTGGTTGTAAAAAGCAGCAGTTTTTAGGCTAAGAACTAGTTTTCAGTACTTTGTAACAGCAAACAAGATCTGGTGTCATCAATATGATAGCATGGTGATTTGTGTGCTTTACAAAAGGGGATGTGTGTACAACTAATAGCTAGTATTGTCAGGTAATTAATACATGATGTCACATTTTTCCTGGTATTAGAAAAAATTGTTCTCTCTGGAAAACAGTTATCGTTAAAGTACGAAGCTTCATGACTAGTTCAAGGCAGAAAAGGAATTCATTTCATTAGCACAAGAGCTTGCCATCTCGTATGGGCATGAATGACTTCCATTCCACTGCTTGCACTCAGTGGAAGCTCAGAGGCTGGGAAATACAGTATTTTCCAAACTTCTAAGTGACTCACCACTTTTTATTTAGGAATACAGAGTTTGGTTTCTTACTGTGTTAACACAGTACGTTACAACTTATGCCTTCATGCCTTCCACTTCCTTTGCATGTGCTTTTTGCCTCCCTTTTCTTAAATGCTTTCAACCTGTATGAACAGGATGATAGGGCTGGCCAGAGTTTTCACTCCTTAAAACAATCTTCATTTTGAGTTATGAAAACTTTTTCACTTCCTTAACAGACCATTATTAAAAATCATCCAGAAGCATGGGAGGGAAAATACGGAATTTTGCTTGCCTTTCTCTTCTGGGAGTGCGTATATACATGTACTGGGAAACTCTATAAGATACAGCTTTTTTTTCCAGTGAGTGGAGACAAATATCTTCAGTGCTACCTGATTTTACAAATACCGCCCTGGTTGGCAGAAACTGGTCCCACTTAAAATTAAGCAGTGGTCTATTTTGAACATTTAGTTCTTCTCTCATTCATTTTCTTTTATATTATTTGCCAGTCAGCACTCCAGGTCTTCTCTCGATATATTTGATTTGCCGCTCCACAATCAATAACAATTGTTATGTCTCAAGCCACGTGCATGCTTGTTCTCACTCGCTCTCACACACGGGATTCCCTGCTCACATGCGTTTTGTTGCTTGGAAAGGACAAATCAGGAATCCTCTTAACCTGTTCTGCAGTGATTTTGCTTTCTCTTTTAGTTTGGTGCAGCCAGTACAGAAGGATGTTGCAAAGTCTTGTTGCAACCTCTGTGCTCTGGTAAGGCGCGATGGTGCGGGTGTACCATTTTCTGAAGTGTCTTATTGCTGAATATCTGAGATTCTCGAAGTGGAAACAGCATCTTAAGTGCTGTTGTAAGCACTAAATTGGATTGTTGGGTGTCACAGGCCTCCTCCTGAGAGGACAGTCCTCTTGCTCTGCGAGGTTTGCTCTGTAAAGAGTGTTTCAGGCTAAAAACGTTCTCAAACTTGCTAGCAGATTGTAAATCCCGTTTGCAGTTTGGGAAGCTTTATAACCCACCATGTTGCAATGTGGGACCATTTGAGAAATAAGCAGAGAAAAGATGGGTAGAAGATAGGGGTAGGAGAAAGCAGCTAGTGTGAATCTGCCCAGCAGGACCCACAGTAGCAAGAGCTGCAGTTGCAGGAAAGAGGCATTGCGGGAGCACTAAGAATTGGTATTTTTGGTTGGCTTGAATGGAAAGCTGAGCAATGCATAACCTTCAAATGAGATGGATTCAGATGAAAAACTTTTATGTATGGAATCAGAGGTTTTAGATCAAGAAATCAGTCTGTGCAGTCACTTTTCAGTGAAAATGTCACCAGCTGATTTGCACTAAGATGCACTGTGCTTTTGCATTTCAAAAGCCAGGTAGGCCATGCCGAATTAGTGCTGTCTGGTGCCTTTCCTCATCAAAGCCTCTGCAGAAGAAACCTTGAGAGTTCTTTTTCTATATCTTAACAATTTCCTATTCCAAACTCTAGGAGGGCATTTGAGTGGGAGTAGCAAATGTGTTCTGCTGGTCCGAATGCTGAGGAGAATAAAGCAGGCAGAGCTGGAAAGCAGCAGCGCCTTTGAAGAACAGGTGGGAATGGTGCCGCGGTTGTTGAGCCAATGGTATTTCCCAAGCAGCACATTCCCAGCCGTGTCCTGCTCATAAATATCCATAGCCAGCATGCTGAGGGGTATGAATAAGCAGCAGCCAACTGGCTACTAAGAGGCACTGCTGAAGTGCTATTATAATCAACGTAAATGCCGTGGTATTAAAATAATAATCATCATCATCATTTTTTTGACAGAGGATGTTAACCAACAAGATGTGGTATAATCAAAGGGCTGCTAATTGTTATTTATTGGAAGAGCCATCCTGCAGTTCAGAGATGCACTTCATGTTGTGAACTTTAATCACTTTTGTTTCCAGAATATCCAGGTAATTGTTCAGGGCTTAGTTTGGGTTTGTTCAGTACTGAATGCTGTCATTTAACACTTGCACAAAATAGAAAACATAAATAATAGTAGTGCTTAGACTCTGAAAGTTGTTTCTGTGTTCTTTGGACAATTTAAGTACATCAAACTATATAAAATTTAGCCTGTCATTTGTGTGTATGCTTTCTATTTGTATACAGGAAGTTTGTACATTATATAACTATGTTCAAATAACTTCTCTGCCCTAAATAACTTCTATTGCCTTTCTCAAAAATTTTGATCCAGGTCAGTTAGAATTGAAAGTAAAAAAATGTGCAAAGGAAGGAGAACTTCACCAAGAAGGAGATGACATTTGTATTATCTGTTGCCATTGAGCAAGCATCCCGTGTTTATAATCTGAGACTTTGTCTGCTTTCCCTTTTAAACCTAGCCTTAATAGAGCTTTTTTGGAGATGCAAGACTCCGTTTCTTCAATTCAGAGATTTAGAACAGAGTTGTTGTGCTTTGTTTCCATGGCTTCTTCGCCAAATCTGAGCGGGCATAAACTCCTGTTGATAATTTTATAGGGAAGTAATTGCTACACATGAAGACTTCCCGAAACATCTAAGTGACATATACAAGAGCAAGCCAAATTTAAGACAAAATCAGTGTGAAGCAAGTGGAACTGGCGCCATAGGCCATTTGCTTCTGGAATCCACTTTTTTCTCCCCTTTCATTGTCTTGGCCGCTGTGGGTAGCTCCATTCATCCGTGGACAGCTGCATTCAGGCCTCGCTGCTCCCTTCATGCCACTTACGCGCTCCTCGTACTCCAGAGCAGAGGTTAACGTATGCAGGCTCCGAGAGGGAAAACGTGGGGGCGTGTAGGTAAACGGAGTCTCCCGTAGTTATAAAATACTATGAAAATCCCCATGCTTGGGAGCGTGTGCTTGGGTTCTGGATATTTAGCTTTCTTGCGAAAGGACTTTCAAGGACGCGTTTGAGAAGTGCTGGCCCAAGGGCACGCAGGACGAGAGACGTAGGTGGCTTGCTCGTACAGGAGATGATTAATGGAAAGCACACAAAAGTGAGCTCTATAAGCAGATTTGAGGAGGAAAATGTGATAGCTTGGGAAATGGATTCTAATGATGTCGGAAGGGCCTTCGATGCAGAGGGTTTGCAATTTGGGATGCTAATGACTTCAAAGTGACCCGTGTTCCGCGGTGCTGCAAATAGATCTCTTTGTATTGGTACACATGGACTTGTGCTTTCGGCTCCACAGCCTTATTCATTAATCCTTGCTGACATCTTTTATTGGATTTGCCTTCTCTGAACAGTTGCTTTCCATCTCTGTTATTAAATCTCCATCTTAGCAAATAGATAAAAATTATCTTTAAAACATAGCCTAGCGAAGACGTAGCCTGTTGACTCAG